AAATGCATGGGAGTTTCAAATGAATGTGATGAAAGAAAAAATGATTCCTTTATAATATAGTACTAGGCGAATGTCCGCATGTTGCGCAGAAACACCTATATAACTGAAGTCTTTACAAATATATGATTTTTTAAATATAACAATAACATTGTTGTTAAATTTGACATAATAATTTGTATATATACTAAATTGATATAATATATTGATTATTTTGAATTATATGATAATATATACATTTATTATAACTTCACAATCTCAATCGTTTGAATGACTTCTACCCGCGAGTTACACATGAATAAAATTAAATATAATATATGATTTGCTGTTATTTATAGTTGTTTTTATTGTTAATTGATTTTTTAAAACTTATTTGCTTAATGTTTTAATTTCTATCATTATAATTATTTAAAACATCAAACATTGTTTTTTTATTTTAAAGTTAACAATATAATCATTTATATAGAGTTGTTTTTAACTATTGTTATTGTAAGTTATTTTAAACAACTTATTTGGAAACTTTTAACGATTATAAAAATATATTTAATAAATATTTTAGTTAAATTGAAATTACAATTTAATTTTTGCTTTTATCACTACAACTTATCACTTTTAACTATTTACAAAATATTTTTTAGTTTTTTTTAAATGGAATTGAAATTTATATTTGAGTTGACATTGTAATGCGCAGAAACACCTATATAGTTGAAGTCTTTACAAATATATATTTTTTAAAACATAGCACTAACATTGTTGTTAAATTTGATATAATAATTCGTATATTAATTTGATATAATATATTGATTATTTTGAATGATGTGATAATATATAAATCTATTATAACCTCATAATCTCAATCGTTTGAATGACTTCTACTAATGAGTTACACATCAATAAAATTAAATATTATATATGGTTTAATATTACTTATAGTTATTATTTTTAACCAATTTTTTAAAATTTATTTGCTTAATGTTTTAATTTCTATTATTATAATTATTTAAAATATCAAACATTATTTTTTGATTTTAAAGGTAACAATATAATCATTTATATAGAGTTAATTTTTAACTATTGTTATTATAAGTTATTTTAAACTACTTATTTGAATTTTTTTAACGATTATATAAATATATTTAGAAAATATTTTAGCTAAACTAATATTACAATTTAGTTTTTGTATTTATCACTATAATATATCACTTTTAACTATTTACAAAATATTACTTGATTTTTTTAGTGGAACTGAAATTTATATTTAAATTGACATTGTAATATTATATTTAAATTAACACTTTAAGTATTTTGTCCAAACTGTTCAAAAATTGTAGCTTTAAACTGATAATGGTTTACATGCAACAACATTTTAAATCTAATAAATCAAGTATAATATGTTAAAATTTAAAGACATAACTTTATAAATAGAAGTAAAGATATTATTTTAAAATTAAAATTTAGTCTATTTATGATTACACTTTAAGTTTGATATTTATTTAGCCTTATTAACCAACTTACAATCATTATTAGAAAGACACTACAATTTATCACTTTTAACTATTTATAAAATAATCTTTGGGTTGTTTAGGTTAAATAAAATTTATATTTAAATTGAGCCTATAATGTTATATTTTAATTAATAATTTAAGTATTTTATACAAATTGTTCAAAAATTATACATTTAAATTGATAATGGTTTATATCCAATAATATATTAAAAACTAATAAATTAAGTATAATATGTTAAAAGTTAAAAAAACATAATTTTATAAGTAAAATTAAAGATATTATTTTAATATTGAAATTTAGTTTATATATGAATACACTTTAGATTTGATATTTAGTTAACCTAATTACCAAATTATAATTATTATTATAAAGAAATTGAAAAATCATAGGAGTTTCAAATGAATGTGGTGAAAAGAAAAAAAGAATGGAAGTTTCAAATGCATGAGATTCAAGAAAAAATATTAGCTTTATAAGTATGTATGATTTTAAAAAATATGATGGTTTAAATGCATTAAAAAAAAATAATATAATGATCTTTTAATACTTTCGTGAAAATATATTAGGTTTTTTTAGATCAGAAAACCTTAAATAAGAATTTCCGAAAATGTAAGGGTTTTAGTGCACTAAAAAATAATATAGTGAGTTTTTTAAGTGTTTAATGAAAATACGTTGGTTTTTTTGTGAGGTTTTCCCTTTCTTTCACGTTTATTTTTTTATTGGTTACTCTTAAATACTTAAATATTATATTTTTCACCCTTTTATTTAATGCTTATTAGCAATTTATATCCTTTTCTATTTTGAAAAGTTATTCATTGTCTTAATATTTGTGTACCAATATGCATACATGCTTTTAGAGTATTGAAAATAATAAAATTTGGTATTTTCTTTTTGAAAAAAATAAAATTCTGAAAAATTGAAATATATATATATATATATATATATATATATATATATATATATGAATAAAAAAATAGTTTTTATATCAGTATTTATACCATTTAATCAAGGTTCTAAATAATGTAATGCGTGACTTGACGGCAATGTCAAGCCTCAAGCTTTTCGAGTCTTGGCGAGTCACGACGTTTGTAAAGCGTGACTTAAGACAGCAGTTTTCTATATACTTAATATTTTTATATGTATTTTCAACTATTATTCATTTTTATTCACATATATGAGTTAAGGCAGCATCTTCGCAAAACTTGACAGCAGTTGCAAGCCATAGAACCATGACGAAGCCCTAACAAGCTTTTTAGAACCTTGCATTTAATAAAGCATAATATATATTTATTGGCATAATGTTTTATATACTTCTTCATATGTGAATGTATGTTTAAGTATATTTTTGTGAGAACCGGCATTCCGAATTTTTAATAGAAAAAACTCTTCTGATATTTTTAAAAAATCCGTCCAAAATCCAATGTATGATTCCATAATATGATGAATAATTTCGAATGTAACTCCGAAACATGACAAATAATTCTAAAATATTTCATGGATTTTACATTATAATTTTATATTCTAACAGGAGCTAAAAGTGTATTATTGATTATAAATTCAAAAATGCGTTATCAATTCATTTTACATGTTTAGTTTGACTTGGATGGTAAAAAACAATTAGTAACTTTCTTTATGTAATGAACTTTTTAATTTTATATCCAAAAATGCCAGTTAATAAGGTATTATTGATTATAAATTCAAAAATGTCAGTCAAATTTTCTAATGGTTTAGTAGTTGTATTATATTTTTTTTAATTTTCAAGACTTAAACTTGTAGAAACCACAGTTAAAAAAGAAAAAACGTTATTCATAATTCGAAATCCTAATAACTAATCAAATATTTGCAACAAAAAAAATAGAAAAATAGAAAATCAATTATTTCTCACAGCCAAAAAGACTGAAAAATTACATAGAAAACAAAATCTAAGATATAAAAGGGGTTAGGACTCAATATATTTATTTATTTATTTCGATAAAAAAACCATAAATTTTCGAATTATGAATAATGTTTTTTTCTTTTACCGTTCTTTCCACATGTTTAAACCCTATATATATATATATATATATATATATATATATATATATATATATATATATATATATATATATATATATATAGAGAGAGAGAGAGAGAGAGAGAGGGAAAAGTGAATATACCCTTAAGGGTATATAAGCTTAGGTATCCAAACTTACCATACTACATCATTTTGTATCATATAATACATTATAATTATCTAATTTTCTTATCAATTAACTTCAAACTTGATTTACTTCTAATATTTTTATAAATTACACATTTATCTTCCTCTTACATAATTTTCATTTTCAACTACAATATATATATATAGCCTACTAGGTATTCGGCAAAAAGATATGATGTAAGAGAAATATAATAATGAAATTTCGAAAATATTGAAAGTAAAACATATTAGGAGTTGAAGTTTAAAAACATTATAATAATTATATCATACAAAATGACGTGTTATGGTGTGTTTGGGTACCTAAGCTTATATACCCTTAACGGTATATTCACTTTTCCATATATATATATATATATATATATATATATATATATATATATATATATATATATATATATATATATATATATATATATATATATATATATATATATATATATATTCAAATATCATATTAGAATACTAGACTATAAATATTGAAACAATTCTAATAGAATATTAAAATAATCTAATAATTATAATAGCTTATTAGAATATTTCAATATATGTAACAATTGTAGTAAAATAGCAAAATATTCTAACATTCTAAGAATTCTATTGGAATATTTACAGTGTAATATTTTATTAAAATATTTCACGTTTAATTTAAAAAAAAATATTTTTTTTTAATTTTTTCGGATAAATTAAATGATGAAAATAATATTTAAAAAGAGGAATTTTCGGAATTTTCCTTCTGTTTTGCATTTTATAATTTTTATTTTTATTTTTTAATCTACAAGATAAGTGGTTAGAATTGCATCCTCATGTCTCACAAAATTAACATGGGTTTAAATGAATATATATATATATATATATATATATATATATATATATATATATATATATATATATATATATATATATTTTTAGTTTTTTTTTTATGGTTAGAATGAGCGGTTTAACTAGTTTGTTTTGAAATGGAATAATTTGTATATATTTGTTGTTATCTTAAATAGTATTAAGATTAATTATCAATAATAATTTGGTGAATAAAAGGCTGGGTTGTGAATAACGTAGTATAAAACTGAAATCAGGTTGTGGTTAATGATGTGGACGAGAGAAAATAATTTTGAATGAAAGGTCGTGTGGAGTTGCCGATTTTTATAGTCTAACGGTATATACTATATACTTTTGAGGAAAAGACAAAAAAGTCAATATGGAAAATAATTTGAATTTCCAGAGGGTAGTTGACCTTTATTATTGGGTCCGTATATAAAAAGGTAACGTATATAATATAAATTATTATAGTTAATTTGGATATCGAAGAAACGAGTGGCATGGAAAATACGTAAAATATACCTGGAATTTACCTCTTTCTGGTAGATCTGTCTCTATATAAACCCCATCACCCTTTTGTCCTCCCACTAAAAGGCTCTTCTTCTCCAGCAACTCCAAGCATCCTACACCCAATATTCGCCCTTCATTAGCCCAACAAAATCAGAGAGACAGAGAGGTGTGTTAAATATTAATGAAGCTTTTCACAACTATTTTCTATTTAATTATGTTTCTAGCTTCTCTTTTATCGTACTGTTTATTCAAGAAAGATAAAAGGAGGCACAAACAAACAGCCAGGCTTCCTCCAGGTTCAATGGGGTGGCCTTGCATTGGTGAAACTCTCCAAATGTATTCACAAGACCCCAATATTTTTTTCGCCTCAAAACAGAAAAGGTTCGTATATCATATATCATATATATCACATGCATTTATAATTATATATCACACGTACGCATGCAGAAATTAATATAAAATATTGTATATATGATGCTGTTTGATTTCCCATGATCAGGTATGGAGATATATTCAAAACCCGAATACTTGGGTACCCATGTGTTATGTTAGCAAGCCCTGAAGCAGCTCGTTTTGTGCTAGTGACTCACCCTCACTTATTCAAACCCACATACCCAAAAAGTAAAGAAAACTTAATCGGACCTTCAGCCCTGTTTTTTCATCAGGGGAATTATCATGCTCGCATGAGAAAGCTAGTTCAAACCTCATTTTCTCCAGAAGCATCTAGAAAGTTGATCACCGATATTGAAAATATCGCCATTTCTAGCCTTGAATCATGGTCAAACGGTCAAGTCATTAACACCTTCCTCCAGATGAAAAAGGTATATGATATCATTTTTAATTACATACATATCATATACATAAGTATTTATAATTTTATATATTCTCCACAGTTTGCTTTTGAGGTGGGAGTTTTGTCAATCTTTGGTCACTTGGAGAAGAAATATACACAAGAGTTGAAGGAGAATTATAGCATATTAGAAAAAGGTTACAATTGTTTCCCGACAAGCCTTCCAGGAACCGCATATCATAAAGCTTTAATGGTAAATATGATAAATAAAAATAAGAAAAGAATTTTATGAATTTTCACGTGTTGTATAACTTATTATTTTATTGATTCATGTGAAAATGTGAAGGCAAGAAGAAGACTTAATCGGATTATTGGTGAGATTGTCCAAGAAAGGAAGGAGAAGAAATGGTTAGCAAGCAATCTCTTGGGACAACTCTTGAACTTCAGGGACGAAATGGGAAATACATTAAGTGATGAACAAATATCAGATAATATTATCGGGGTACTTTTTGCAGCTCAAGATACAACAGCTAGTGTCCTAACATGGATACTCAAATATCTTCACGATGATCCAAAGCTTCTAGATTTTGTTAAGGTGAGATTAATCTGATTATAACAATGTACTTTTTTCAATAATTTTAACATATATATTTGTAAATCTGTTTTATAGAATGAGAATGAACTTACTGAAGAATTTCTACTGGTGGAATACATAATGGCAGGCAGAGCAAAAGGCAATATGTGAATCCGAAAATGGAGAGGAACGGGGGTTGACTTGGTCAAAGACAAGACAAATGCCTCTAACATATAGAGTATGTAGTTATAAAATTTGGATTTTGATTTTAATCTTTTTGGTATAGTATATAAGTTAAATCTTAATTAACGATAATCAATTTCAGATAATACTAGAGACTCTGAGGAAGGCAAGTATTATATCTTTTACTTTTAGGGAAGCGACAGTTGATGTTGAATACGAAGGTGAGTAAAAAAAAAAGATTATTTTTCAAATTTAAAGATTAGACATATTTAGTAAGTGATTTTAATTAATTAATTAATTAATGTGTGATGATGTAATTGTAATTTGTAAATAAACAAACAGGATACCTTATCCCAAAAGGGTGGAAAGTGATGCCTTTGTTCCGGAACATTCATCACAATCCTGAATTTTTCACGGATCCAGGAATCTTTGATCCCTTTAGATTTGAGGTATGGAATGAAACACCTGCCCAAAGTTACAGTTTCAGTTCCTGTTGATTAAACTATTTACACAAAAGTTGATAATGATTTTTTAGGAGTTTTATTTAATCTCTTTATTTCCATTTTTGCAGAATCCTCCAAAACCTAATACATACATGCCATTTGGCAATGGAATACATGCATGTCCAGGAAATGAACTTGCAAAAGTTGAGATGCTTGTTTTACTTCACCACATGCTTACAAAGTATAGGTATATATATATATATATATTATATATGATGTTAATATGTTAAATAATTATGGAGGGTATTTCGGTAATTTGACCATGTCGATTTTGTTTTTTTGTTAAATAATAGGTGGGAATTGGTGGGTTCAACAAACTTTATACAGTATAGTCCATTTCCAATTCCAGAACATGGGCTTCAAGCTAGATTCAAGAAAGAAATTTGACAGTTAATAATGTCTAGTGCATACTAAATACCCTACTTTTTTACAGGGTTTAGCTACATGTATTTAATCCTTTCTGTATATCACATTTGTATTGTATATGTATTCATGATATATATATATATATATATATATATAACAGATGCATCTTTACTTATTATCATTGTGTCTATATGTATGTACCAATAAAGAGAGCTCTAATAAAGAAGATAAATATTTGCTTCCCCTCTTAACCAAATCTTCATACTTGCTTTTTATCACCTATCTATTTTGGATTGTTATAAGAGCATGGTGGGAATAATTATTAACATTTAGCTTCTAACATTGTTTTGTTATAGAAGTTAGATGCTTATGTTAATAATAGTTATTGTAATCATAGTTAGATGTAATCACTAACGTGACAAAAAAGAGAGGTGTTAGAAAAGCATATGACCATTTGTTCGGGAGACTATCACATAATAACCACCCATTTATCAGAATGAGTTTTGCAAAATTAGGTAATTACTTTTTTGGTCCTTTTCAACAAAAAAATCCAATTATATTACGCAATTATTAATATTTTGTGAAAATATGAAAAAGAAAATCAAAATATGAGCAATTTCACACTAAAACTTTGTGAAATTATTAATATTAAAAAAATACGTATTATTTTGCAAAATAAAAAGCAAATGGGGACCATTCATAAAGTAATTTTACAAATTAAAGTAATTTCATAAAACCCGTTTTACGAAATAGGTCGTTATTTTGTGATAGTTTCCCAAAAGATGGTCATTTTGTGTTCTAACACCTCAATTTGTGTCATTTACGTGATTACCCCTCATGTTCAATATATTAACTTTTACAGCTTCCAACTAAAAGGACCAAAAAAGATGTTGGTGGGTCGACCCAACATATCATGAACCATCCTAAAATTTTACCCGTTTTGGCTCATTACCCATCCACCCAACCCAACCCAATAATGGAAAAAGGCTAGCAAAATACGAATATTAAATCCAACTATTTGGCAAAAATTTCTTGCTAAGGGAGCTACAAAGAAGAATTCACATTTGCTAAAAGAATCACAAGAGTAGATATATAGATTATAGAGGCATGTTTCAAAATTATTGAGCTCCATCACTATTATCAATAATTGAGATTTGTCAACATGTTGAAAGGTCCTTAGTAGTTGGTAGATGCATATATATAGCATTATAAGTGATGGCCTACAATCATGGGTTTCATGGTAAAGTGTTTTATAATGACATTATATAATACTACCCTACTCGACAACTACATTGGAAAGAAAGCTATAGGTAAATTACTAAATTAATGTTGCAAAACATACATGTTTCTAGGTCTCTAGCTGTAAAATATGAAGCATTGTGCAAGTTTTCAAGAAAATAAATCAAATCAATGCAATGTTTTCAAGAAATCACATTGATATGATTGTGATTATCAAGGAAGTGATATTGACCATACAATACTAAACAATGACTATATGATAGAGTTTTTAACAATTACGCACACTACTTTCAATAGAAAAACACAACTCATACATCTATCAGGTTACCTGTTTGTATGAAGGAAGGCATTGAAGCATCAAATCAGAAACAATTTCGTCCCTGAAATAGAGGTTAGCTTCCTTATCATATAAGGCCAAAAAAAGATTACATTAATCAACCTCATTAGTCATTTCTCAAGGACCTCAAGCTTTCAGGAATCTTCTAAACATTGAATACACCATAAATTCAAGACCAATATGTCTAATCAAGATAAGGAGATACCAAAATAGCATGCCATATCTAATCTCATCACCTTGGAAGGACCACAAATAGAACATTTATTATTTTTCATGTGAAATACTGTTCTATAATACGATCTAAGATCTTTTTCCAACATCTAAAACAGTATTTTCAATTTCTAAGTTCAAAAATGTTAGCCTATTTTAAGCTCAAAACTTCCACAAGAGGCATATGTTACATTGTTATGTGACAACATATTACTCTAATATCAGTTATGAGTTATGAAGTAGAATTAATGGTTCCACCATGGTTTTAAAGTTTTTGTTATGGCAATAAACTACAAGCAACAAAATGAGATATGCTTTGCAAAAAGCAAAACAAAAACATTAACCTTCTCCTAATTCATGACTTTTGTTTGCCAAATTGCTTAATCTTTTGAGTTTCATGTGAATATCAATAACTTTCAGCGAACAAAATCGCTCTAATCGGTTTTAGATTTTGTGCTAAGAAAACTACTAGCTTACATTACACAAATCAAGAGTGTAATATATTATTATATATTCAACATAATTCATGCGATTGATCATTTTAGATGTAGACCTACGGACTATAAGCGATTATGCCGGATTTCCAGAGACAAAACTTCATTCTGCAACTATAAAATAATAAAAGGCACAAATAAAAGGCGATTATAATTTCAAACCCAAATGTATTTCGTGAATCAATTTTAGGTCCGATTTTAGCATCTGAATACCATATGATATCATTGATCACTAAACGATCATATGAAAGCGATAATCAGTTGTACGAAATCAGGTGGGAGAGTGTGTGAAAGAGCTTACGATGTGTTGATCAAATTGGCGGCAAACTTCTGAAGCTACAGAATCATCATACCCCCCTCTGACCTGATTTGAAGCTACAAAATAAAAATACTTTCGCGACTCAGTTTCAAAAAATAAATAAATAATAAAATATCAGGTCGGGTTCTATTTTAACTTTTCGGCCCACACTACACAGATCCAGTCCGAGTCCGACCATAGGTTTTTGTTACTATTATTCATTCTATTAACTTAATAGGTTTTTGACGTTTTTCACTATCATAATATCATAAATTCATTATAGGCCTATTTTGGTAATTCCAAAATAACAAGTTTTTGCTTTAGTATTTGTACATTTTGCTAAGATGGAAGGAATAAGAAAGGTAGTTGACCAATGGTAAAAATATTTGATCAATGGTTGATATGGTGTTGATGTGGAAGAGATTAAAATGATTCATACCCTTTACCCTTCTGAGAATCAAGAATTTTTGTTATTTTTGTTTGCTAAAGGAACCACAAGTATACATATAGAGAGAGAGAGGCATGTTTCAAAATTATTGAACACCATCAATATATTATCAATAATTGAAATATGTAAACATGTTGAAAGGTCCTTAGCAGGTGTATATAACATTATTATTGATGGCCTACCACCATGGGCTTCATGGTAAAGTAACTAATAATGACATAGTATATTACTCCCCCAGTCAACAACTCTATTGGAAAGAAAGCTATAGATTTGCAAAACATAGATGCTTCTAGATTTAAATATGAAACATAATTATGCAAGTTGTTAAGAATTAAAATCAATCAAATCAATGGAACGTTTTATGGAAACCACATGATATGGTTGTAATCGTCAAGTAAATACCAATCAATTACTATACAGTAGAGTTTATAACAATTACGCACGTTCGTTTAGACAGAAAAACACGGATCATATATCTATTATCAGATTAATTACCTTTTCGTCTGAATGAAGACATTAATCATAAACAATTTCGTCCTTGAAAATAGAGGTTAACCTCATTGGTCATATAAGGCCAAGAAAATATTACATTAAAATCAACCTCATTAGTCATTTCTCAAAGGACCCAAGCATTCAAGAATCATCTAACCATGTTCACATTTATATTTATTTATTTAAAACCAATATGTCTAATCAAGATGAAGAAATGGTACACCCTCTCTAACATTACTTCCCTTAAGGACCACAAATAGAATATGATATGAGATAGATGTATCATGTCTTTGTAATGAATACATAAGATTGACAACATGAGCTAACTAGGATTTGTATAGCATCATTGCATTTATCAGATCCATCTAAAGTAAGTATCAAATCCATTATTCATCTCATAAAAAGAAGGGAAAACTTACATTCGATATTAGAAATTTAGACTAATTCTACTCCATTTTTAAGTTAAAATTTTGTAGCTAACAAACTAAGATGTTGATTTCATAATTCGAAAATTTCTAGCATTAAATCAACAAATCACGAGTGCAATACATTATTGAATGCATTAATTATCCATCAGAATTCATGTCATGAAATAAAGCCATTCTTTTTAGTTTATCATACTCAAATAACCATTAAAACAAATATCTGACATATTCATTAAAAAAAATATCTAAAGACATGTGTATGGGATGTCCGTGGTAATCCAGACTAAAAACAATTGTGCACACGTGAAACCCTATATAATGAGTCTTCCTAACTTGAACTTCAACCTACAAATGTTAAATTAGAATTACGAATGCATATGTCAGAAATAATCTAGTTCGTAAATATTTATGCACAAGTAATTAGGAAAAAGAACTTGTTAAATTTATCCACCTTTGATGAACCATTACTACTCCTTAGACCTCAATATATGATTATTATTGGGAATTTTAAGTAACATAGTAGCCACCATCAACTGTCACGTCCTGTCCGGTCGTTGACGGAAACACCAGGCAGTGTGACATATGGATAATTGGATCTCGGCAACAGGTACAATCAAACACAAAAGTATATATATTACATATTTATTTATTATTGATTTTTGAAGGATTACATTATCTTAGGGACAGACACACACTCCTAAAATAACTATACTAATCTTCAATAGCTTCCTTGCAAACTTCCTTCATACTTGGAGGACACTCTTCCCCACTCATATTCCTGAGAATACATGTATTTTGAAAGTTAACATAATATTGTTGAGTGCACGAGTTTTTATTTTGGATTTTTGAATTCCTTTTAAGAATACTTTTCTTTAGTGAAAATATTTTTTATTTGTATAGTCTTCTATCTTTTAAGATATCTTTTATTGATCTTAAATTATTATATTTTCAGGATATCTAACGATCCTAACGTATTTTAGTTAAGAATGTCTTTTGTTAATCCTAATTTACTATCTTTCCAGGATTTCTAATGATCCTAACATAATTTTAATTACCATAACAAACGGTCTTAATGGTAATCTAAGCTCTAATGCAATTTTTAATGTATTAACGTGAGCCCCTATGATCGACGCTACGACTGTAAATGTATCCCTGTTCATGACGTTTTACCGGACGTCGAATAGTAACTTATATAGAAGGTATCCTGTCAGGA